TAGAAATTTAATGCACACATATACTACTCATGTGTGAAGTGATGCTTGCTCACACATACTATTCAGCGCAGCATTGTAACAGCACAGGACCAGAAACAACCAAATGTCTAGGAGACGTGTGATAAACCAAGCCGTAACCTTTCATACAGAGCATGTAACACAACGGAAGGAAACAGTGAAGAAGCTCTCCAGGTACTGATATGAGACCTCGCAGCTATACTGTCGAATGAAAAAAGCAAGGTGCAAAGCAACACATATAAAATGCTACTTTTTGTATGAAAAGGGGGGAAATAAGAACATACACCTGTATCCGCATATACACATACGCAAGCTTCGGAAAGGTACACGGGAAATTTACAGTGATTGCCGGGATTACTGGATGGATGTGGGAACCGGGTGAAGACTCTCCACGTGATGCCAGTGGTTGAGACTGCCACTCCCTTCTTCCCTTAGTAACAGAACCTTCCAAATTTTAGCTGGTCACATGGTCACCCAATTAAAAGACCACACACAGTTCCCAGACTTTCTTGCTGCTAGGTGTGGCTGGTAACTAAGAATTGGCCAATGAAATGTGGGCAGAAGCGATGTGTTCCATTTCTGGGATTCCTATGTTTTTCCCCTCCCTGCATGCTAGAACATGACCTGGTAATGGTGAATCAGCCTTTACCACATGGGTGAGTACAATACTCTAAGAGAGGGTAGCACACAAAACTGGAAGACCTGGGCCCCAGAATGACCCACTGGAACAAAGCCATCTACCACGCAGGACGGCTTCTCTCCCTCTGGGACCGCCATGCTAGAAAGCCTACACTTCTAACTCATTTGTGTCACTGTACTCTGGGTCTCTCTCTCTCTCTCCTTTAAACAGCAGCTTAGCCTGGACTCGCACTAAAGCAGAAAATGATACCTAGGGATGAGTTACCACAGTATCAAAAACCACACTGTAGCATTGGCTTCCGCGCTAGTAAGAGAAGATGGTAAGAAAAATAGATGCTGCAGACAAGCAGGCTGGTAACCTTTGTTATAACTGTAGCGAAAATTCTGATAGATCTTCAATGACTTGGAAGAAAAGCCCTGTGTCATCTGGACTTGTAACTTT